TAGAATATATAGTGAACAATTTCTTCTGTGCGCAACTCACCGATTTTGACCAAACTTTCTTAGAAGCTTTGTTATCAAGTGCCTGGCACATATTGTCGGGGTTTTGTGATTGGATAATATTTGACCGAATTATGGCCCTTTGTATATTTTTTCCTTATACAGAATATATAGTGAACAATTTCTTCTGTGCGCAACTCCTCCTACATTTCTCAACGGATTTTGACCAAACTTTCTTAGAAGCTTTGTTATCAAGTGCCTGGCACATATTGTCGGGGTTTTGTGATTGGATAATATTTGACCGAATTATGGCCCTTTGTATATTTTTTCCTTATACAGAATATATAGTGAACAATTTCTACAGTGCGCAACTTCAAAAATTAAGCAAAAATAAAGTACTGTTTACCTTTCTAAAACATTTGGGGGGAAAAGGCGAATAGACAAAATAAAATTTCTCAATCATTTTTGTTTGAGGAATATTAAAAAAGCCATAATTCCTCCTAAAAATTCAATTAAAAACAAATGCCCCTTCATGACAAAGCTTCTGTGAAATATTTTGCTGAAAACCTGGTTGCATCGCATTGCGATGTTCCTTGTTTTTTATATATATTAATATTTAAATATACTGTTAAAAAGAGTGTCTTTTTAAAATAGAAATCTCATGCTGATTTAATTATAATGAAAATTATATACCATGAATTCACTTAATTTCGTGGACATGAAATTTCGTGGTTTGTCACAAAGAAATTTTCATTGGTATTTAAATTTGTGGACTGTTTTTTTTCCAAAAGGTAAAATGTCAATAATGTGATGGAAAAAAAAACTTACAGCAGACATAATAAAATTTCAGTTTTTATCAGAAGTTGAAACAGATTGGTTTTTTTGCACTGCTGTTTGGAATTCATTTTTTGAACATTAAAAAAAGGCCCTTTTTTGGGGGGGGGGAATTTTTTGGGACCTTATTTTAGTCCCTATTTGATGATTTGATGTTTTTTGTATTCATCATTACAGATAATTTAGTATGTGTTAAACATCATCTCCCCGTGATTTTTTTGTATAAAGTTATTTATCATAACCTCTGGCTGAACTTTTTTTTATGTATCAGGGACTATTTTTTTGTCATGATTATTAGGAAAAATTTGTTTTTGTACAAGAAAAAAAAATCAAATAAAAAAGATGTTCATCCAGATGGCTGTTGAATATGTGATACATTGCCAGTACAAAAAAAAAAGAAAGAAAAAGATGAGTTTTTTTCATACCACACAAAAAGGAAGAAATGTTTTCCCACGTTAAAGTGGATTGGTCTACATTTTCCACGAGTTTTTCAAATGTTGATAAAAACAACAGAAATGCATTGTTGGATATTATTATAGAATGTCATTTGAAAAAAGGGATGCTAATAAGTGATTTAGAATTAACATTTATACAATACATGATGAATAATAATAATATTTTGTTCCAATTATCTTTTTTTGTGTGGAAAAATTGTTACTGACAAGAACCTGGACTGGGGGCATTTGTGTTTAACAAACAGGTTCTTGTTTTTATCCTACATTTATCCTATGTATTTCTTTCTTTGCGTCAACAATTTTAACAACATGTAAACTCCACTAAAAACGATATTGCTTATAACGATATACCGCTTGTTTTCAAATTGGTTGCTTCTAGGATATAACAATTTCTGGAGATATATTACAATATAGATTCCACAGTCCCCTCTTTAGCGAAGTTTACAATAAAAAAAAATTTCATTCTTAATAGATATTGCATCCTTTTTTTTCTTACTGATATTTGTAACACTTGGGCTTTTTTGTTTGCTTGATATTCTCGAATGTTTTCATTTAATGAAAATTTTATTATACAATCTTTATGGAGTAATTTATTTATTTATTATTATGTATATATAGTCTAGGGGGGAATAGACTGGTTTTATAGTTTATATCACCTTCAGCTGATCAAGTAGACTGTCTCTCTATCGCACTCATAATTTCCCCCTCTTTGATTTATGGGAAATAAAATTGCTGTTTTCCATGGAATAAAACAGAACAAAACCATTCTACTGCGGATTTAATGCCCTATAAACAATCTTTAATCGAATTCTGAAGCCATTTTTGATACTGTTTGTGTGTATGAACCTTTAATTATAAGAAAATTTATAGAGAAATGATTTTTTTTGTGGATGAAAAACAAGGTATTACATCATTTTAGCTCCATTTTTTTTGATGAGCTACATATAGCTTCAGCGTTGGTTAGCATTTCTGGTATACGTTTAATGTTAGGGTATACTTTTGGTTTAGTTTTTTTGGTTAGATTATAAAACATTAAAGGTAGGAACACTATTATATTGAAACTTAATATATGTATGCATGCACATTGATAAGTTCTACCTGTCACACCCATTATTAGGTCACTGGGTCAAAGTTCAAGGTCAATGGAACCTGTAATAGGTAATAAGTTAACGTTCTTTTTTTTTTCCAGAAAGTATCAACTGAAGGTATTTAAAATGGAATACTTGTTCATCAGCAAAATTAACATTATAACTATCCTAAAAGCAGATTAAATCCTTAAAATTACATTTTGCAAATTTTGCAAAATTACATTTTACTTTTTGAGATTAACCTTTTTGTCAAGGTCAATAAATGTTTTTATACAGCTAACCTTTTTATCAATTTTAAAGTTAATTTTGAAATATTTGTTATTATCAGGGGGAGATAATTCAACAGATGTAATTTGCAGAATTATGCCTTTTTAAGTTTCTTCTTCCCTAATTCCCTAAGCAGCATTGAGAAAAGTATAAAATGCTGGTATTTTGACAGCTATTGTTTGAATTTTTTTATGGGAGAAGTGTAAGTGAAGGGCCTGATGTGAAGTGGGTAATTTTTTAAAGTAAGGCAGAAAAGCAGATGAAAGAAATTACCTAAAGTAGAGGACCTGGTGGTCCGTAATTGGTCGCAGGGCATTTTACCCCAGTCTATCCTGGAGATATCAGGGCATTTTACCCCAGTCTATCCTGGAGATATCAGGGCATTTTACCCCAGTCTATCCTGGAGATATGATGAGATCCGTGGTAATTTAGTTGCCTCGCAGCTTTCCCACTTGTCATTAAAAAACTGTTAATTTCTTGATTTTTTACCTCTTCTGCAGTGAGGAAGAGATATATTAACAGAACTGATAAAACTGGGATTAATGAAAACTATGGTGGCTGATTTGGTACATTGCGTGTTGCGTTGTCGACAACAACAATGCAACCTATATTGTTCTTGCTAGCGACACCACAACAAAGAGCCAAATGGCGCGTTGTCGTTTTGTCGTCTTGTCTCTAGCAAAGCATGCCAAACAGCACGTTGTTTCGCGGTGCATTGTTGCGATGTCGCCCTGTTGCTTGGCTTGTAAGACAAGCTGTTGTTATAAAATGGGCACATTTCGTAGCAGTGATGACAAAAAACAGTCAGTAAAATATCTTGTAAAAGACATTTATAAACAGGACACAACATATTTGTATGAACACAACATGCATTTTACTAAAATCAATTAAACAGGTATGAGACTGAATTATATACAAGAAATGAGGGCTATTTATCAATATATTATTGTATTGTTGTGTTGCCGATATTTGTCATCAGCTATTGATGAATCAATGACAACTCTAAAGCTTTATGGAAATAACTTTATAATTAATGCAGCCATTACTATTTTGAGATAGTGACTTCAATTACAAAATCACAGAAGCCTGAAGAGGTGACCATTCTTCTAAAAAAAGATAAAAAAAAAATCATTATTTAATTGACTGTTACGCTGCCCTTGTGTTGATTTTTATAGTGAAGCTCATATCATAGTATAAGAATATCATGTAGGGGGTTGCTATAAATCATACAAACATGAATAAAGAGTTTAATTAATCATTGATTGAGTGATTTGATTGATTGATTGATTTGTTTTGATTTGATTTGATTGATTGATTTGAGTGCTTGATTGATTGGTTGATTAATCTATTCATTCATTCATTCATTCGTTTGTTTGTTCATTCTTTCATTCATTCATCAATCATTCAATTTTTCATTCATTCACTATGAATTATTGCTTGAAAGGCCCAGACACATTGCACTCTCACATTTTAATCATTTAATTGTATAAAAAACTATATATAAATTATGGACCTACTTGTAGTGCATTAATACAGTAGTGCCATAACTGGTGTTAGATTAAGGGAAATATTACACTTCCATTCTCCTTAATGCTATAGAGTATAAAAACCCATAAATATTCGCAAAATGATTAATGACTGTTCAATAAAAGCATTTTCATTATAGACCAGCATAGCTTGTGTACTGGTTGTTGTTATCCCCAAGTCTAGGATATAGACTTTACAATATAGAATGTACAATGTAGTAGAATGTAGAAAAATAGAATATTGAAGAATACGCTGGTAGTAGAATATAATAGAATGTTTTAGAATACAGTAAAATGTAGAAAATAGAAGAATATACGCGTATAAGAATATAAAAGAATAATAGAATTATGAATACAGTAGAATGTAGAAAATAGAATATCGTGCAACATAGTAGAACATAATATGATGTAGAGTATGGAAGAATTAATAGTATAATGTAGAATAAAGTAGAATGTAGAATAAAGTAGAATGTAAAATGAAGTAAAATGTAGAATAAAGTAGAAGATAGAATAAAAGAATAATGTAGAATATAGAATTTAAAATAGAATAGAATATATAATTTAGAATGAAGTAGAATATAAAAGGAAGAATAAAGTAGAATTTAGAGTGTAGAATAAAGTAGAATATATAATTTAGAATAAAGTAGAATAAAGTAGAATATAAAAGGAAGAATAAAGTAGAATATAAAATGTGCAAGACATACATGTACCTGCTCAAGGTCATTCAAAAGTGGAGCATTCTACTTTTTCATGTGTATGCCATGTTTTGGCTTTTGTCATATAAAATTGTTATAATGCAGATTTTTAATATGATGTTTATGTTGTGTTTTCAGATGTGATGCGCTTCTTTAAAGCTGTCAGTCGGTGCTGCCGACTTCAAACAGATGACCGCAATTCCTCGGACAGGAATCTTAGTTTGATGATGTATTTGATCTGACAAAATATACATGTACATAACTAAATAGGTAAGTAAACTTCATAATCTTTATTTAAACCAATATATATGTATTTAATCTGATTTCAAAGCAATATGTCAACTGTATATCAATAAAGCCCCTCCTCCCCCTCTCCTCCCCTCCCACAAAAAAAAAGAATAAAAAAAAAAGAAAAAGGATAACAAAAAACCCTTGGCATGTTCCAGTCATTATTTATATGGGGAGGAAAACCATAGACACAAATTGGATATAATACAATATCTGGCAGCTATTATCACTAGGGGAGAGAAAATAACAGAAAATACGTAGACACAAAACTTCTCTTATGGCATCAATCATTATCTTGTTAATATAGGAATGGATATGTCTCATCATTTCCCAACTTGTCAATATCTGAGCCGCGTCACGACAAAACCAACATAATGCGTTTGCGACCAGCATGGATCCAGACCAGCCTGCGCATCCGCGCAGTCTGATCAGGATCCATGCTGTTCGCTTACAAACCCTATTACAAGTTGAGAAACTGATAGCGAACAGCATGGATCCTGATCAGACTGCGCGGATGCGCAGGCTGGTCTGGATCCATGCTGGTCGCAAACGCATTATGTTGGTTTTGTCATGACGCGGCTCATATGTCTCATCATTTCCCAACTTGTCAATATCTATTTTCCTCTTTCTCTTTTTAATGTCTAGGAAGTGGATCAAAACAAAATTGATCCTCAGCCCAGACAGTATTAGGACTGCTTCTCTATCTTGGCAAATCACTGGCTTAGAAAGTATTGACTGGTTCCTTAATTTTTGTACAGAAATAACATGACTTGCCAAAAAAGGGTGGTTCCTCATACAGAACTACGATAATTTTGCCAGACAGTCTAGTTACCTGAACAGATTTAATTAGAGTACTTCCCCCAAAAATGGTTGTTTTTCATACTGAATTTACAGATCATTTGCACATACAAACTGGTTCCATGTTTTACTGGAGTAAACAGGTCATTTCTTAATGCAGAACTAACAGATTACTTGCCCAAACATCTGGTTGCCTGTAGAAATCACAGAATCACTGGCACAGACAGGGTACGTGGTTATATATTAACAGATCACTGGCACAGGATGGTTCCCCTGTACAGAAATAACAGATGACTCGCTCAGACAGGCTGGTTTCCCAATACAGAACTTACAGATCACTTGCTTAGACAAGCTGATTCCCTTTGCAAAATTTACAGAACTTACACTCTACCACTAGCTCAGACAGAGCTTTTATATCACAGCGACAAATAAGCTGGTTCCCTACACAGAATCTGAACTAACAGAACTGCTTACACAGGCTGGTTTCTCAATACAAAGCTTACACCAATACAGAACTAACAGATCACTAGCTCAGCTATGCTGGTTTCCTGTACAGAAGTAACTGATCACTAGCTCAGACATGCTGGTTTCCTGTACAGAACTAACATATCACTAGCTCAGACATGCTGGTTTCCTGTACAGAACTAACCGATCATTAGCTCAGACATGCTGGTTTCCTTGTACAGAACTAACAGATCACTAGCTGAGACTTGCTGGTTTCCTGTACAAAACTAACAGATAATTAGCTCAGACATGCTGGTTTCCTGTACAGAACTAACATATCACTAGCTCAGACATGCTGGTTTCCTGTACAGAACTAACCGATCATTAGCTCAGACATGCTGGTTTCCTGTACAGAACTAACAGATCACTAGCTCAGACATGCTGCTTTCCTGTACAAAACTAACAGATAATTAGCTCAGACATGCTGGTTTCCTGTACAGAACTAACCGATCATTAGCTCAGACATGCTGGTTTCCTGTACAAAACTAACATATCACTAGCTCAGACATGCTGGTTTCCTGTACAGAACTAACCGATCATTAGCTCAGACATGCTGGTTTCCTGTACAGAACTAACAGATAATTAGCTCAGACATGCTGGTTTCCTGTACAGAACTAACAGATCACTAGCTCAGACAAGCTGGTTTCCCAATACAGAACTAACAGATCACTAGCTCAGACATGCTGGTTTCCTGTACAGAACTAACAAATCATTAGCTCAGACATGCTGGTTTCCTGTACAGAACTAACAGATCACTAGCTCAGACATGCTGGTTTTCTGTACAAAACTAACAGATAATTAGCTCAGACATGCTGGTTTCCTGTACAGAACTAACAGATCACTAGCTCAGACAAGCTGGTTTCCCAATACAGAACTAACAGATTACTAGCTCAGACAAGCTGGTTTCCCAATACAGAACTAACAGATTTCTAGCTCAGACATGCTGGTTATCTCTTCAGAACTAACAGTTTACTAGCTCAGACATGCTGCTTTCCTGTACAGAACTAACAGATCACTAGCTCAGACAAGCTGGTTTCCCAATACAGAACTAACAGATCACTAGCTCAGACAAGCTGGTTTCCCAATACAGAACTAACAGATCACTAGCTCAGACAAGCTGGTTTCCTGTACAGAACTAACAGATAACTAGCTCAGACAAGCTGGTTTCCCAATACAGAACTAACAGATCACTAGCTCAGACATGTTGGTTTCCTGTACAGAACTAACAGATCACTAGCTCAGACATGCTGGTTTTCTGTACAAAACTAACAGATAATTAGCTCAGACATGCTGGTTTCCTGTACAGAACTAACAGATCACTAGCTCAGACAAGCTGGTTTCCCAATACAGAACTAACAGATTACTAGCTCAGACATGCTGGTTTTCTCTTCTGAACTAACAGTTTACTAGCTCAGACATGCTGGTTTCCTGTACAGAACTAACAGATCACTAGCTCAGACAAGCTGGTTTCCCAAATACAGAACTTACAAATCACTAGCTCAGACAAGCTGGTTTCCCAATACAGAACTAACAGATCACTAGCTCAGACAAGCTGGTTTCCCAATACAGAACTAACAGATCACTAGCTCAGACATGCTGGTTTCCTGTACAGAACTAACAGATCATTAGCTCAGACATGCTGGTTTCCTGTACAGAACTAACAGATCATTAGCTCAGACATGCTGGTTTCTGTACAGAACTAACAGATCACTAGCTCAGACATGCTGGTTTCTCAATACAGAACTAACAGATTACTAGCTCAGACATGCTGGTTTCTCAATACAGAACTAACAGATTACTAGCTCAGACATGCTGGTTTCCCAATACAGAACTAACAGATTACTAGCTCAGACATGCTGGTTTGTCAATACAGAACTAACAGATCACTAGCTCAGACAGACTGGTTTCCCAATACAGAACTTACAGATTACTAGCTCAGACAGGCTGGTTTCTCAATACAAAACTAACAGATCACTAGCTCAAACATGCTGGTTTCCCAATACAGAACTAACAGATTACTAGCTCAGACATGCTGGTTTGTCAATACAGAACTAACAGATTACTAGCTCAGACATGCTGGTTTGTCAATACAGAACTAACAGATAACTAGACTGCAGACATGCTGGGTTTGTCAATACAGAACTAACAGATTACTAGCTCAGACATGCTGGTTTGTCAATACAGAACTAACAGATTACTAGCTCAGACATGCTGGTTTGTCAATACAGAACTAACAGATAACTAGCTCAGACATGCTGGTTTGTCAATACAGAACTAACAGATTACTAGCTCAGACATGCTGGTTTGTCAATACAGAACTAACAGATAACTAGCTCAGACATGCTGGTTTGTCAATACAGAACTAACAGATCACTAGCTCAAACATGCTGGTTTCCCAATACAGAACTAACAGATCATTAGCTCAGACAAGCTGGTTTCCCAATACAGAACTAACAGATTACTAGCTCAGACAGGCTGGTTTCTCAATACAGAACTAACACATCACTAGCTCAGACATGCTGGTTTCCCAATACAGAACTAACAGATAACTAGCTCAGACATGCTGGGTTCCTGTACAGAACTAACAGATCATCAGGTCAGACATGCTGGTTTCCTGTACAGAACTAACAGATAACTAGCTCAGACATGCTGGTTCCTGTACAGAACTGACAGATCACTAGGTCAGACATGCTGGTTTCCTTTACAGAACTAACAGATTACTAGCTCAGACAGGCTGGTTCTTGGGGATATTCTCTGGTAGTTTGAGACCAAAATGCTGTTCTTGTGACAACATTCACATATTACTGGACCAATCAGATGCCTTGTTCTTTCAACTCTTCAATATTCCTTGGCTTAGAGAAAGAACTACTGGCAAGTTTGCCTGGCTGTTAAGCAAGATGGTTAACGAAAACATTGTGGTACAACAATTTGTTAAGTTTTGCCAGGAAGTGTCAGGCCCTGGTCTAGACTATATTATTATACTTCAATCCTGGCTTGATATTACTACCAATACAGATAATACTGTCTGGCTTTCTGGGGGGGGGGTAATAATTGTTTATCCATTACCCAGACATGAATTTCTAAATATTTACCTTATTTAGGAAAGAAACTTGGTAATTTCTCAACTCATTTGAAGTCCTGATTAGAAATGAGTCACAGATATACAACTTGCAGTTTTTTACATCCTCTTTGTTGTAAAGACTGAAATTTATGTGCAGATAAGTGAAAAGAAATGTTTCTTATGTTTTGTTACACACACTTGGTAAAAGGTTAGCTTAAAAAACTGAATGAAAATATATACATGTACCTAAAGTCAAACATTCAGTCTTAATCACACCAAAATATAAGGCAAGGCCCTGTTCTCACTTCAAGTCTAAATGACTGTTTAAAGGGACTCCACTGAGGTTTAAAAGCCTAAAAACATGGTTTAAAAGCTTAAAAACATAACATATGAATTTCTTACATAAATGAGGTGGGGCACTTTAAACAGAAATGTATGGAAGATAGTTAAGAAATTTTTATGCTTTAATTTTTAAGTGATTTGAACGCTTTTCA